CTGTGTGTTTCTTTCAATTGTAATATGTTTGTTGTTTTGCTCATGCAGAGATCCATGTAAATGAGATATATTTGGTTTATAATAGTGCTTATATATCGATTTGTGTATTTAAGCCTTGCGGTATGTTCGATTTGAGCCAGCTTTCCTGCGATATTTGTCTATTGAAATAAAGTTAGAAAACCAGATTGGACAACGTAAGCCAATTTTGTGGAAGTCGGCTCTGATAAATCGAGAGTCGAAAAATCTCAAGCTATTTCAATCTTAACTTCAATGCTATCCAAGCGGAGCTCCAATTTTTAGAAATCCAACGTCAGAATACAAAGGTTGAATTTTACTTTTCGGGACTTGGAAACCCCAGTGCTGCAATCAACTTTTGGCGTGCATTAACTTAGCAACAGTCCATCGATAAACTTAATTCAATTTGTGGCGATGAAGATCCATCAAGGAACAGTGTTTATCGATGGTATGGTGAATTCAATTGAAGTCGCAGATCACTTTAAGACGAATTTCGTAAAGGTCGTCCAAATCAGTTGTTGCTTCGGAAACTATTAATGTTGTGGGAAAAATGTTGTTGCTGGTGTTGAGTTTAGACAACTATATGTATTAGTGGGAACACCATGCCTTAAACATTAGGATGGAGCGGAAAAAATTTTTTTTTGCTTAGCCTGAGGGTAAAATTTTTAGATTACAAAAAAAGAAAATTTTTTAAAGTAAAACTTTTAACATCTAGAGGCGGCCCAGTTAAAATTATGTGTGCTCTAGAAGCAGTGGAGAGGTCATTATTGGAGTTAAAAAAAAGTCTTAAACGGCAACATGCTTTCCTTAGACGTTAAAATAAATTTTGAGTCAAAAACCGTCACATTCGGTAATTTTTATATAAATGTAAAGAGTTTAACTTGAAATTTACTTTAAAATTGAGTGCGCCGCCTCTAGGTGTTAAAAAAACTTTTTTTTTACCCAAAAATTATATTTTTTTTTATAATATACAGATTTTACACCCAGGCTAAGCAAAAAAAAAAAATTTTTTGTCGCTACACCCTGAAGCGCAAATACAAGTAGCATATAGTTCCCATATAAATTGACTGATTAAACTCGACTTCATGTTTGAAATTTGGCATAGATTATTATCCAAAACATCGCTACAATCTCAAAAAAAAAATCGATTAGATCGCAAAATTATAGCATACCTTTGCTACAAACTGAACGATCGGAATCAAGTATTTGTATGGAAAACTTTTTCATTTGACGAGATATCTTCAAGAAATTTGGCAGAGATTATTATCCGGGGCATTGCTATAATTTCCGAATATATTTTTCAAATCGAACTACTATAGCATATAGCTGTCATATAAACTGACCGAACAAAATCAGAATAAATATCTTTTCATACCATGTTATGCTATAAAAAATGCATCTGTGAAGGGTGTTATAGCTTAAGTGCAACCGAGGTTAACGTTTTTGTTTTTTGTTTTTATTCTTTTTTTGTTTTGGGCTTTGTTGATATTTTCTCTTTTATTGGAATTTGTGTGCGCCAAAGGGCATGAATAGTGAAAAGCAAACCGCACGACGTTGACCAACAACCCACTCAGTGGTCAACCAACAGGCAACACTTCCGTTTACAATTTATCCACAAGACTGTTTGGGTTGGTGTGTGCGTGTACTCGAACATTCGATGCAAAGCTGCAAAAGCCCAAAAATAATCGTAAGCAAATGAAAATATAAAATGCAATCAGAGTGTAAAAGACAAATGAAATCGCAAAGTCAAGTCGACTGTAAGAGAAATGAAAATTCATTTGCTTCAACTGTGACGCGCCGCGTAAAAAAGGCCAACAAATCGGTTTTTACTTTCTTTTTGCACTTTTTTTTATTTATTTTTTTTTCTTTGGCCATAGCAAATAAATCTAGCCCATAAATTATAGGGCAGCCAATGCGCGCGCCAACTCCGCACATAATGCCAACACTGCAATTCGCTCGACAGAAGGCAATGTCAGCGCCGCACGGCAACTGCCGCAGCACTTTTTGGCAACGATATCGGGCAATAACAGTCTCCACAGCTTACAGGCAACACTTGAGCGCAAATAAAGTTGACCACTCGCGTTCATACTCGAAAGCGCTGAAGTACTTTGGCCTGGCGTACTCTTGACAACTTGGCAAAGAGTTATAGCCAACAGCTGGTGGCGCTTGTCGTTGCCCAGCTATATAAATTTCAATGTGTTCGTGTTGGTGTATGTGTGTGTTGTACATGAAAGTTCCAAGACTCCCGATGAAATGTAAGCGTTGAGATTGTGAAAGTAGAAAAATTAATTTGAAATCAAATTTGCGCACGCTCAAAGTTTTGCTACTAAAATTTACGAATTGCGGCTACTTTTGTTCGAGTGGCAGTGTGCGCAAAACTCCTTTAAAATGTTTTAGATGTTTTAAGAAATATTAAAATAAATTTCGTAATTAAAATGTCAAAGAGCAGCTGACCTCACTGTCAGACAAACAAAGAGTCGCGGTCGTATAAGTAGTTTGTGGAGTAAATGCTTCTCCTTCTTCTATATAGTGGCAGCAGGGGAGAGAATGAAGCATAGGCCGAACTATGCTTTCAAACCAATATTCATGACATTACCTGAGGGAAATTAAAACAAAATAAAAGAAAAAAATTAAAACAAAAACATTTATGTTATCAATAAATGAAGTTTTGAGAGAGGAAAGCATTTTTGCAGATCAGTTCTTTCTTTCTTTGTGGAGAATGTTGGCTAAATATGTGGCTGCAAAACAGTTAAAACTAAAGATCAATGAAAAATATTGAATAAAAAGCAATCTTCCGTTATACATTCAGTTATGATCTAACGAATTACATTCTAATAAATATTCAGCTTACAAAGTATAAATGAACGGCAATTTAAACAGTGTCCTTTTCGCACGATAGACTTAATCCAGCGGTTCTCTAACTTCTTTAAACCATCTGAAAAATATAGTAGTTCGTGGCGTATTTCCACCAACTTAGCTTATTGTAATGGAAGAAAAATAAATATTTCTGCAGCAAATGTCGCTAGTCGACAGCTCATTAGCAAAGGACAAAGAAACGTTGTTGACAACATTCAGGGCAATCAGCCGGCCCGCCATTAGATTACAAGTATTTCGATGACAACCAACCTGAATCTTACTACCTGAATAGATAACCGCTACAACAACAACAGCGCATATTTCTATTTCACTGTAACTAAGGCCTCTATTCGAACTCACACAACAAGAAATATCGATAAATGTTTTGCAGTTATACATAATTTAGCTAATTGTAAGAGGATAGCCGAACGCTAGAACCACGGCTAACAAGCACCAAAAATCGATCCAAAATCCTTTGGGGTTATATGGAATACTTGGAGAGCCATCCACTCTTATAAATGGTTTCAGGGTACCAACGAGTATTGCTAACTCATCAACACCATGACAGACCATATCAAGAGCAGAAAGATCATTTTCAATTCAGCATTGCAACCGATCGAATTCTCTTTTTCCTTTATATAACGATATGCAAATACTTGAAATTCATGCTTATTATTTAATAGATCTTACTTATAAGATTTGTCTATAGAAAAATAAGAAAAAACTTTAATTTCTGTAGCATCGAAGCTATTATACCCTTCACAAATACATAAGATTCCTTACAAGAACTTTTATCGGTCAGTTTGTTTGGCAGCTATATGTTATAGTGGTCCTATCTGAACGGTTTCTTCAGAGATTAAATCATTGCCTAAGGCAATAACTCATGCTAAGTTTCGTGAAGATATCTCATCAAATTTATCTTTCAGCTCCAACGTTTCCTTCTGAATGTAACAAACTTGATGTCAAACTAAATATACCCTGTTCAGGGTATAAATATACAATTTTTCATTACTTCAGAAACTGTTCTTTAACCCAGTCACCACAGTTAATTTCAAACCTCTGATTGTAGTTCGGATTTAAACAATTTTATACAACCAGGAAACGTATAGACAGGGTCAAGAACTTGTGGAACTTCTATATGTTTTTTAATTTCTTACAATCGTACATATTTTGCTTAGAGGACGACCGAAAAATAAAAATATGTTTATATGTATGTTTGTATGAGTGTATAAGTGTTCGAGCCTCTTCACAGTGGCAGCTTGTGTTCGAAAACGACGATATACAATCCAACAGCAATTTAAAAGTAAATAAATACCGAAAAAAACACTTCACGCAACGTACAACGGGGCGTATGAGTAACAATCACTGACAGTGCACAGTGTGTGCATGCCAGGGCTGTTGATAAATGTTGCTAACGTCACTTTTTTCATGCTTTTATCGTTTTTGGGTGTGCAGCTGTGAATTGCTATTGTTTTGACACACACTTTACTCGCATTACCAAAGCCGGTGCTGTTGTTGGGCCTTGTTGTTATGTTGTTGTTTCTTTTTGCTTTTTCCGTTAATTTATTGAAATGATCATAGCTGCAAATTGATAAACTTTATTATGGCGAAATTAAAGTAGCGAAATATTGTACCTGATTCCGGTGAGAGCATTATACACACAAACATTTATAGATACAAAAAATTACTTTTATGCTGCTTTGTGTATGTATGTGTGTGTCGAACCGATTGAAAAAGCAAACGGAAATGGGATATTTTTTTTATATTTCAACATTCACCAGCTGCTGTGTGTGTGTGTGTGGATGCGTATGACCTTGGCATCCACAATAAACTTCTAGTATTTCTGTCTGTTTTTTACAACTCTGCCACTCTTCAGGTTCATTCACGTAGAACACAGACATATATGTGTTTTATATTCGGCGTGAACTCGTTCGACAGTCAATGATTTATGGCTATAGCCACACTTAACAGTAAACATCTGCATAAAATAAAATAAATATATATACATACGTTGTGTATACATCGTTCGTATTTAATAAATTGAAGTTTATTTTTGTTGTTATTAAATTTTATTATTTGCATTATTATCAGCGGCATTAAATATTTTTATTGCTTCCCGCTCTTTGCAGGTTATTTTCCGCTCAGCTCATTGTGGTGTCTCGCTTGGATTTGTCTGGATGTGCTCTTCTGCACGGCGAGTATAATGCATCTCTGCACTATTTCGGTGGATCGCTTCTTTTCGCTGGCGTTTCCAATGCGTTTTGGCCGCAATAAGACTAGTCGGCGTGTATTTTTGAAAATTGGTCTTGTATGGTTCCTATCGGTAGCAACGAGTTTACCGTTATGCTTGATGTACTCTCAGGTGAGTGGCCAATATTTTAGTGAGAGAAACTGAGATACTAATTACTAAATTTTTGGTGTATATTCATTGACCACAAAGAGGGTACAATAAAGATATCAAATTCAAACTTACCACAAATAGTTCTCCTGTCATATGCCAACTCTCCATAGCTACTCCAACTTCTATATACCCAATATAGGAATCTTTCTTTGGTAGGTTTTATATCGCTTAAATCAACATACTTTATTATCTCTAGGAAAATTCTAAAATTTCATTCATTTTCGATAAATAGGTAGAAATTGCTATGAATTCACTTTTTTTAAATCTTATGAGCTACCCTATAATTTACTCTCATAGATGTTGTGCGTTAAGGACAGTTTTCATTATTTTAGTACATACTTTCATTCATGCTATTAATAAATCCTTACCTTTAACATAACTTTAAGATAATTATTTTTTTGGGTTTTTTCTTTATAATTCTAGTTACATACCATTAAATATTGAATGGCTCTTGTCTACACGTTTCAAATTCTTAAATTCTTTTATCTATTCACAGAATCACGCGTCGGTATTAATAAACGGTACTTGTCAGATACCGGATCCTATTTACAAATTAGTTGGATCGATAATTTGCTTTTATATACCACTGTTTGTTATGCTACTCACATATTGTCTCACTATACGCCTCTTGGCGAAGAAAAGTCATAACTTGGGCGGAATGTGTCAACCGCAACCGCCCGGCTGGGCGAGCACTTGGCTCGGACAAAGCAGCGCATTCGGTAAGTAGCACTAAGCTGAATTAAATACAAATAAAAAGCAAAAACAACACTCAATAATTCATTATATACCTTATTCATTAAAGGCACTATTGTCTCTTGATTTTATCAGCTTGGCTGTTAAGGTTTGGTTTGTCCAACACATTTTTTTAAAGAAATCGAACAATAAAGAGGGAAATTTTAGAGAAATTTCTTTCATTACATACAACTTGGAGAAAGCTCATGGACTCCTTCCGAAATATAGCACCTGAAATCCAAAAATGTGCTGACGGGGTAAAAAGTCTTCAGCGCCTGAGCTGGGCGAAATGATCATATTCTAAGTTCGATAAATCTCACGAGCTGTCAACTCAACTCGGCAGAATTCTGCCGCTACAACAACTATTTCAGTCCTCATGGTCAGCTGTAGAAATTGGACGCATGTTGAGTAACCGTCATTAAGCTTGGGAAAAATGTCTAATTATTTACATCACAGTAAAATACCCCAACTATGTGAACACTTGGGCACTTTACCTACATATATTGCCGGTGCGCTGGTCCCCACAACCTTAAAAATAATTTTAATTTGTGCAACGTTTGAATTGGAAAGTAATTTAAAATTTAAATTGACCACTAAAAATAATAGGAGTTGACAAATTTTTCAACTTTTATATATATACGCCATATACCCGCGTTTATAAACTAATACGTCATAGATTAAATAAAACTTTCAAAATTTTATTTTGTCAATTTACGTGTATGCAGTCGCCTATTTAAAGGTCAGCCAACTGTTACTTACCCTAAATATAAATCGATATTCGTGAGAACACAGAGTACCTCGCATGTGTTCTTTCAAACGTGTGTGTAGCGGTGTGAGCACTGTTGACATGTAAAACCTTTTAAAATCTATTATTATTGCTCAATAGATTATATATTTAAATATAAATATAAATCATAGTAACACCTGAAGGTATGCTCAGGCACTTACATATATAACGGGTGATCCAAGTACTTTTTTCTATAGCCTTTTTTTGATTAATCTTGCGAAGCCAGCATTCATTATTGCATAATATTCGACCGAATAGACCACGTCCAGCACGCAGTAAAGAAACGAAGACCTTGAAGAGTCGATTCGCCGCCGTCCGCAGCAACTCGGACTGACGTATGGGCTCTATGGGCTCTTCAAAAGTTCCAATAAGATCCGACGTTTTCAAGCCAAATTTTGTTTAGCGATGAGGCCCATTGCTAACTCAATGACTATGTAAACAAGCTGCCATTTCATCTAGAAAAACAACGGTTAATGTGGTTTGTGGGCGGGTGATAACGTAACCGTCAATGGCGACCATTATCGCGCCGTGATAACCGACTATTTGATGCCTGTAATTGAAGCTCGTGATCACGGCGACTTTTGGTTTCAACAAGACGGCACCACTTCCTACACATCGCATAAATCAATGGATTTATTGACAGAACACTTCGATGTGTAGATAATTTCACGATTTGGGCCGGTCAATTGGCCACCAAGATCGTCTGAAATCAGACTGTTAGACTTTTTCTTGTGGGGATATGTAAAGTCTTAAGTCTATGCGGACAATCCGGATTCGATTCAAACCTGGGAGCAAAACATCACGCTACATCATAAAAGTAGGGAATATCGAAATGGATCACCCTATACATATGTGTGTATGCGTACATATGGAATTGTACTTGCAGCATGTCTTTGAGCTTCAAGGACAATGCAGTCGACAGGGAAGTAGCAGAGAGAAATACTCCTAAAAATACAATTATTTCTCTTTTGCGCTATTGCTTTATTTATAGTGAGTTGTTATTCGTTCAGATATAAATTTGTGACGTTCATGAGCTTTTGCCTACCTATACGACTGCCTATACGATCTGCTTTGTTATCTTACAGCTTGTTATTAATTTCCATCTGATCTGAGCTTTTTGTTCAAAATGCATAGAAAGCTCTCTTTTGATCGTTCTCAGCAGGCACGATATTAACTCCGCCTAGGATTCGTCTAAAGAATCTTCTAACTTTGCCAACTCGTTTGTCTTTTCGTTGCCGAAAATGTTTTTGTTACCAGGTATCCTTATTATGGTCAATCTCCCCGCAATGGTAGGTGTTCTAACTGGACAGTGTCCAATAGGTTTAAACGCTATGTGGCTAAACATTTTGTCAGACGCTCTTTGTCAAAACTACATCATGTGCAATCATCCTGTCACCGAATTTCGCGAGACAGAGATTGAAATATCTCGGTAAACATACCTTTGGCGAACCTAACGAAGTTCCTGTCCTTAATATTTGCGATTCGCTTTATGGTTTTATGGGTAACGCAAAGGATAAACATCTGGCTAAGTAGGATCCAACGATTTTGAATCAACCCTACGACCTAACGTAACCTAACAACTATAGATAAGAGAAATTATTACAAAATGTTCGATACCCACAATTCGTTGCAACAGCTTGCCTGCAGCGACAACTTTTGTTCACCTTACCTAACACTTACTGCATTCCTGCAGCCTGCCTGGATATCAGTTCATTGTATGTCCTCCATAATCCTCTACAAAGCAGCATTGAAATGTCAATCTACATGCATATTCCTAACTGACTGGCTGCTGGGCTGCTGGCTTAAACGTTGACTGGCTTTGACTTGAGCTCTACGCATATATTTCTCCGCTTATAACGGAATGTAAAATCCACTCGCTTCTTTCCATACAACTTGTAAACCAATAACGGTATGCTAGATATCGCACAGCTATATTGTTCGTGGAATTGTGACCCAGTTGGACGGTTTCTTTCTAGCCGCTTTTGTTGCTATGGAAGCTGGTAGAGGCCTGGGGCGAAGTCCTTTAAGTTTGGCGGCTGTGCGATTATCTGCGTGACATATGTACATGTAATTTGCTTGCCTTTCCTCCTTCCGCTTGGCTGTTCGAAGCTACATAGTAGCCAGCAAGGCAATAAATGTAATATAAACGATAGTGTTAAAGCTGGCGTTGGCAAGTTTACGGCTCCGAAAACTTTCACATTGATAACAAGAAGCTGTTAAAGTGTAAAAATGATACAAAGCAATTGCACAGCGGAAAAATATAATATATAGAGGTTTTAAAACGATATTTTTAGGCAAAGCTTTGTAAGGTATTCAATCTCTGACTAACCACTTTTAATCAGAAAGGTCACTTTTGTAAAAAAGGTCTTGAGTAATAGATACATGTGGCATCACAACGTAAAGGCGTTTCTAGCTATCCAAGTGGCATTATTCGTAGCCTCACGAATATAAGTTCATCAATTTACCTAACCTAACCTAACCTAACGTGTATCTTCAATAAATGAAAAAATTTAAGGGCAGTGTACAGTGACATACATACACAACCGTTATTGCCTTGACCTTATCATAAATCGATGCTCACATCTGATGGCTTTGTCTTAATTTTAGCCTTTTTATTTTTAACTTATGGCTTCTAAGTCCTTGATTGATTCTGTTAAGAAGACCCCAAAGTATATTTCGTGAGCTCGGGATTCGTCTGCCACGAGGCCGCTTGTTTGCAATACAAAGATAGTCAGTATTTAGGGACAATCTTGCAATCTCTTGACATATTCATTTTTACAGACTCACATTTAATTTTGCGGCAAAAACTTCCTTTACAAAGAGAATTTGGAAAAAGTCAAAATATGTTTCTAAAAAATTGGAAAGTCCTCAGAATTAAACTCAACTGCAAGGAAACACATAACGAAAAGTATTTTGAAAGAAAATTTAAAACTCAGAAAACTGTGACCCGATATCAAGCCAACATCTGAGGTAATAACCCTTTTTTTACAATAGATCAACATAATCGAGCGCAACAAGGAACTCACTTTGTAGTTATTCTCGACATTTTCTTGGAATATAGTAATGTGCTTAAGAAAAGACCACGGTTTTCGAAGACATACATACTATTTGATGTCAGTGAATCTCGATTATTATTGAAAAGATCTTACGATTGATTTTGTGCACTCTTTCTATATAGTTTGGGAGCTCTTAAAAGCACTAAAAATACTAAGCTCCTGTTCTTTATATTTGTAGACCGATTTAGAAGCTCTTAACAATGCTTAAAATAGGTGGGACAGATTTTAACCTCTTTATATTGGCTGTTCTTTTTTAATCAATGCGGGTTATTGTTGGTCCAACAAATTCTATTATTCCTTGGAAGAGCTGGTAGATCACGAACTTTCGAAATCCTATAGAATTAAACTTAAATTAGGGCTCCAATATTTTCTTCCCTTCCAAAGAAGAGTGTGGAAGCAGTGAGGTGGACAGGGGCGCTCTACGGATGGGTCTAAATTAGATAATCGAGTGAGATCTGATGTCTTTTCAGCAAAATTAGATACCAGAATCGCCTTCCATTTAACTGCAGTGCCTTCCAAGTGGATATCACAGTAATAAAAGAAAGCCCTCTTGTTCTGACAAGGAGTGTGCTCAAAACAAGGAATATATTTATATATATGGAGAGCCAAGTAGCTCTTAAGGTTTCAACAAAGGTAGTGAAAGAATGTGTTGATTTCTTAGTGGATCTAACATCTTAGTTCACGATAATTCTGCAATAGGTTCCCAGACATAATGATATTCACGGTAACTGTGAAGCAAATGACCTAGCCACAGCAGGCGCCACCCTACAATTAGACTCCGGTATAGAGGGAATTTATATACCTCTGGCTACTTGTAGATATTTAATCGATAAATATTTTATAAATATAGCGGAGTATCGGTGAAGGCAATTCCTGACTTACTCAACAAGCTAACAAACGTGTCATGAATGGAATAAGAAACGCACTTTCCGATTATTAAAATTCAAAAGGAATCGCATAAGAACTCTAGAAGGAGTGCTAACAAGTCACTGTCTAATTGGCAGGCATGCCAGCAAACTGGGAACACCATAAAAAAGCTATTGTAGAAGCTGTTAGAAGGTAGAAGAAGAGTAGACTATAAAACATCACCTACGCGAATGCAATGTTATGTATAAGAAATGAATTGCAACTATCGGTCGAGGGTTTCTTGACGATGTCTCGGAGGTTGCACAGATAAAATTCATCGTTTTGATGAACATCTTCAGAAGCACAATGTGGTTCCGAAAGGACATAATAGGATTCGTAACATCATTTTGAGAAGTTCTCAAGAAAAAAATAGAAATGCCACATTTTAACAAAGCCCGACCTGACAAAGAAGACTTGTTAGTGTTTTCGACGTGCTGAAAGAAAAAATCTTGAATTAAGTATTGCACAGAGCATAATTTATCTACAGTTCAAGGTGTAACTCGAATATCTCCTAATAGAAACTCAGTTGGTGAAAACCCCAACGAAACTAAAAGACTTAATCATAAATTTCTCGCAGTGTATAACTTACTTGCTGGCAGCTGTCCAGCGTGTAAATGTTGCACTTTTATTGTATATACAGTTATATATGGTAAGTCTACAGGTATGAAAGCAACTTGGCAGCTGTCAGTTCGCAGTATAGTTGACGTGTTAAATCCACTTAAAGCTATTTCTAGCGCTGTGGGTACTAACTGCTAGCTGCCAGTGACTACATATTTATACAGTTATCGCAAGACGCATGCCGGCAGCTCATAGTAGTTAAAAGTTGACAGTAAACAAGCTCATCTGATGCGACGACAATGCCTTGGCAGCCAGCACCAGCAATATTAGTCTAATATTTGTACGTTTGTGGCTTGCCTAAATTCAATTCACTTGGTTATTTTCCCCAAATGATGTCGACAATTTAGTTTGTGGTCTGTGTGCGAAAATATTTGACTCCGATGTTTGAGATTTTTTATTTACTTTTTGGACGGCCGAATCAAATATTGTTGCATTTAAACTGCTGTTTTAGACATTACGATAAAGATATTGTGTAACTAAAAAGTCTCTCTAACCTTACTATTGTATTTTTTGTTACTAAAATTCACATGCTTTTGTTTGCAGAACGCCGTCGCACATGGCGACGTTTCCTCAGACCGAGCTCCACTGCAGTGACACAATCGGCGCAATCGGCGAACTCCACCGACACCGAGTTGTCTACGCTGGACACACACGAACTGTGGCTGACCGAAGCAAAGTGAGTGAGTGTGTGAGCGCGAACGTCCCATGGGACCAACTGCGTTTATCTACACACTATTTGATTAAAGTTTTCGCAATTTTCATTTCATTATTGGATTTTTTTTTTTACCGTGTGTCCTCTCTTTCTCTTTTCTTTCTATTTTATTTCTCTTTTCTTTCTCCATTCGTTCTAATTTCCGCGCTATATAGCACTAAGGAGCCAACAGCCACCACCATGACAGCGCTGCAGCAGTTCGGTGCCGAAATGTTAAAGCTGTCACGTGGCCTGGAGTCTGTGGCTTCCTCTTCGACCACCTGCTCGCCAACAAAATCGGAATTTTCATCAGCAAATCATTTCACCAGCTGCAGTCCGCAGCACTACTCGACCAACAAGCAGTCCAATCAGCAACAGCATGTGAGCGGGGAGCATTTACAAATACCCACAGCGGCGCTTGCGGCTGCCACAGCTGATAGTACGCTCCTGTTGCGTGGCACAAGTTTGCGGCGAAGCGCGCGTAGGGGACGTAAAAGGTAAGCAAATGTTGTTGGCATGTTTGTATATGCATATTTGAGGAAGTAATAAGCAAAGAAGCAGCAAAATTTCGATATTCAAAATACAGGGTGTTTAATATTAATTGTGCTAATACACGCTGATTATGAAGATTGTAGAAATTTCTTGTTTTGTGACTTAATTCTAAACTCCTAAAATTCTAAAGAACCTCAGATATTTTTCTCTTTTCACTGTCCGGTAATGGAAAAAAATTGCACGATGGGCCTAAAACATAGAATGTATCCCACTTCTGTCGCTGCTGCTATTCAGATTTTTTATCGAAACTCAAACTTGCATAATAAATAAGAAAATGCCAAGTTGGACTGGAGTATTATCTAGATTATACATCTACCTAGAACTTCGACGAACTGATACTCATATATCAACTTGGGTCTATTTTATGTGTCTACTTTTACAAACGAAACTATGCACTTTTTATCGCCTAAGTTCCAAGAAACTTCAAAGAAAAGTGCTTAGAAAAAAAGCATTACATGAAAAAACACACAAAAACTGAACAATAAAAATTCTTGACCGAACCACTATATCATAGAGCCATACAACCTGATCGATAAAAATCTAGGGCACAAAAACCATCGACTATTTTGAAAGCACACTAATTGCGGTCCATAAATATTCCTAATTTTCGATAACTATCTTTGAAGTAATAAGCAACTCTCCTACACAATACAAGCACAAATATATAAGCGTGAGTCATATGGATCCACTCAGCATACTTAAATTTAACCCCAAAGTTTAATAATATCTATAACTTCCTTCGACTTGAGTTCACTAGAATCGAATAAGTTGATTTCAATTTGCATAGAAACGCTTTAGGTATTTTTAAATTCAAGTTTAACAAAATTTGGGACAAAAATATAAATATCACACTTATTTAATTTAATTTCTAAATCAACTCAGCCATACTGAAGCCCCCTTTAAAAACAATGTTAAATAAAAGTTAATTGTGCAGTGAAATTGAAATCACAAAATAAAGTCGTCAGCAAACTATACGCAATGGACAGGCAGTGCGTATAAGTAACAAGGCATACCACGCAAAAATGAAATTCTTACTTTTTTTCTCATCCCTGGACTTGAAGGTCAATGGCAAGCTATTTGCTGCTGAAATTGAGGTGAAGAAGTACGATGAATATACGTTTACTGTTTGCTAAGCGAAAAAGTTGACGGCGTTGAGCTCAAATTATGCACTTCAATGGATTCTCATTTTCCATTGAAAATCTGGAGGCATGGAGGTGTGTAATTTCTCGTTTGTTTTTATTTGTGTTCATAAGATGAATGAAATGCCGCTGCGGCTGCCTACTGTCTAGTATAATGTATGTTGTCCACAAAAATTTGTGTTTGTTCTCAAGTTACTGTTGCTGGACAGCCCCAAGCTCTGCTGCTGATTATTGGCTTAAGTTGAAACTGGAAGGGCGGTTAAAGTGAATTAAATAAATCTTAGCACATCTAAATTTTTACCCAAATACGTGGAATAATTAAAAAATGTCACTTTAAGTCAGTCATTGATATCTATTTTTCAATAAGGTACTGTTGAAATAACAACAAATATCTGGAAATTGTCCACTTATATGGTTAAGCCCGTTGTTGTGAGGTTAAGCGCTTTTCTTTAGCGAAAACTTGCCGAAATGATTTTTTAAAGTCTAATATTTAGAAATAACAGAAAATAAAATATAATTTTAAATTTAATTAATATAATTTTAAATTTTTAAGAAGTATTGAAATTTGAACTTTTTGAGTTTCATTTAAGTAACTCACATACCATCACCAATATAAAAGGAGTAAAGTCAACCAGAAGTTTCAATATTTTCATATTAGTTATAACACCGTTATTAGGAAAACTCGCCCGCTTAATATTATTACGACAACTCACATATTGGCCGATATATGAGGTACAAAGTCAGCCAGTAGTTCGAAAATCTTTCTATTAAATATATGAGAGCTAAGAGAAGTATTGGCTAGAATTAATCCATTTTTGACATACATATTTTCACACTATCGTAAGAAGGGTTGAAAATATTTGTTAATATTTATTGATTTGAGAGCTATATACATTAAACTTATTAGAGGACAGGCCACGCCCACTTTTACAAGATTTCAAACTACAGGTGACTCTCTTTAATTAGACTCTTTGTGCCAAATTTGACGTGTATCAAGTTTCATTAAGATATCTCTACTTTTACTCAAGTTATAGCTTGCATAGACAGAAGGACAGACAGAAAGTCACTCGGAATTCAACTCGTCTCATCATCGTGCTCTGTCAAAAAAAGTTCTATTGAAAAAAGTATCTCTACTTGAATCACCCACTATATAACCCTATATCTAATTCGATTATTTTTAGGTGCTACAAACAACTGTTTGGTGACTAAAACTATCTGTAGCAACATGTTGCAAAAGTATAAAAATGTTAAGTTTCACTTTTCTGCTAAGTGGCAATTCGACTGTGCGAAAACAGGTTTAAATTCACTACAAATACTTTCGCGTTGATTTCCTTTAATTACCTAACTTTGACACTACTTTTGCAATATTTCGCTCAGTTTTATAGTTTTTGATCGGTTGAAATTATTTCCAAAAACATTTTCAGAGACTTTAATTTTATTTTCACTTTCACGACAGGTGGCAATTACATTAGAAATTAGGTTTCTATTAAAGCCTTTCCAAACATTTTACCGACAGCTTCCCGAAACCCCTAAAATTTCGCGCATGTTTCGTAATATTTTGTTAATTTTTTAATTTATCTATCTGTGACAACTCTATTATAAAGTGATAATATTTTCAGTTTAATCGGTAGGTGGCAAATCTGTTTGTATTGTTATTTAAGATTTGTCCAGATATGGCCATTTATGGCGGTCTCTCATGAACGGTATTTGGATTTATACATATTGCGGAATTCTATAAACTCTCGATACAATGAACAGTAGATGCTCCCATAGAATATTTAAGGCCCTGGAATTGTATTCTTCATTTCTTCATATCAAATTTATATGAGTAATACTCTGGTTTAATTGGAATATATAAATAAAATTTAAAAAAAGATCCAGCTCGTAAAAATTAATTTTTTAATTCTATGTAAATCTTCTAATAAACGAACACATTTTCCACTCCATTCTCCACTTAAAAAATCTAGTTCAAAAGATTTGAAATCCGCTTGATTGAGTATCTGACAACCAGTTGCATAAAAAAATTGTGTAACTCAATACAACCAAGTAAGAAGGCTGTTTTACCTCTCTCAAAACCACTAAAGCCAAATCAAAGAAACTCGATGTCAGACATACAGCTTTATTAATTTTTTCCTGCTTCATCACTTCATCAGAACACAAATTAAAAGCAAAATACTTGATTTTCATTCACCCTGCGCCTTCATTGTTAGGTGTTTATTTTGCTGTCCTTTATGGTGGAGTAAAAAGGATCTTGTTTGTTTATCCTCTTCGGTCCTATTTACTTTTCACACAGTTGGTTGGGGGTAATTTAATATTTGATGGCACATAACCAAATAACCAGTAGAACTGAAATGTAGGGGAATACTTCGAAATGTAGTTCTTAATGGGTCAAGCATTCGAAGCAGAAATAAATTAATTTAACACTTTGCTAAATTCTTTGTCGTTCTTCGGTTTCTGATGTATGCTCTAAAGATATTCAACAAATGCAAGGTCCATTCGACTAGTCTTAAACAGACTCCGACGGCTATACGGATCACACTAAGTCCAAATAAAGACAACTAGCTACCACTACTAAAATATAGTATATAACTTTAATTAATTGTTCCAGTCGGAATTAGAATTGACGAGTTATCAAAGGCGGCACTGGCATTTATTTGTGTTTCAACACACAAAAACATAATCTTTAGAATCATCAATATCAAAACAGAAGCTCAACTAGTGATTTATTTGACTACTATGTATGTTTGTATAATCGAAGGCTTAACTCCGGTACTGCGAACGGCAAGAGCATTTGCAGCACTGACCTGAGTTGCGATATACCCAAACACACCGAACATACACTTTTGACCTGATTAACCTCAATTTGAACTGCAATTACTAGATGTATACGGATGCAGAAGTTCGAGCAGAGATTGAATTAATAAAGGCCGTTATAGAGTGCTATGAAATGTGTGGTATGCTACCTCTGAAATACTAAATAAAGAATCACATAACTTTACATGAAGTTAGGTTAGGTTAAGACGTCAATCTTAACAGAGATCTCATTTAGAAAAGTCCTATATAATTGATTATAAGACTTTTCCAAATCGACGTAGCACTTTGAGCCTATCACAAATGTGTTGAGACGACTACTGTCAGTTTCCGCTAAGTCTCCTGGTTCCCCGAAGGTAAAACTGCCAAGATGTTTTAACCTCAGTATTGCAAAGGCTTGACAATGCAAGAAAAAGTGTCTGGATATTTCCACCTCACCCTAAACCATAAAACTTTGACAACTTGCGTACGTCAAGATTTTTATCGCATAAATGCCTAGTGGACAATGTCCTGTAAGAACAACTATGATTGCGGTAAGATGAGCTTTGCTAAAGGCAAGTATTTCAGAAGATCTTCTGCGTTCTACATTTTTGGCTTAGAGTCTTGTAATCGTACAGAAGCGGGTCGTGCAGTGCTAGAACGTAAGATGCCTTTGGAGTTCCAACTCATTCCCATTCAAATGTGAGCGGGGCAAGGGTGCCCCCTCGGCATTGCAGTCGCCAGCGACTTGGAATTATGGCTACCCATAACCGTGGAAAAGAATCCCTCCTTTAACACAAAAGCCGCATACATTATGGTGCTAGTCATCAAGGGAAATGTCAAAAACTTTCAGAATCCAAGCCATCTAAACTTGTGTTTCCTCTAAATTTGTTTTTACAATTCGGAAAATAGAAGGGCAAAAAGATATTGTAGTTTCTAACAGCTCGCTTTCTAAAGATAAGGATCCAAATTTCATTGAAATGATGTTTCAAATTTATTATATTTGGTTTTTTTCT